CATTCTAGTGTAAAATGCAAATACTCCTATTAGGCGTTAGGAATTTATCAAAAGTTTCAAAATTTGTAACTGACGCCATAAACGTATTGTTTGGGAGTAGATTACAGACTTGGACGTGTTATTTGTGAAGCTGCTGTACAAAATTAGTGTATGGAGTGTCTAAATAAAAATCCAAGTAGAAATTCTGTATATATTATTTTAATGGAGTATCAACTAACTTATAATTCAGAACTGCAGTTAGTACCATATTACAATCATAAGTATTAAAATTTTGAAGATTTCAATTCATATATCGTGATAAAGGAGTACTTCGCGATAAGACAAGATATAAGCTAGATACCGTTTATATTTTCTCACCAACAGGACTCATACAAGTATAAATCAATGCGTTTAATATAATCCCTAATTTACAGGCTAACTGGTGAACCAGTGAGGTAACTATGAAAGCTGATGGACTAAGCTGTAGAGTTGTATGAACGGTTAACAGTTTAAATAAGCCAACCAAACTGGCTTCCTTAAGTGTGACGACGGACCACGGGTGAACTCGAGGAAGCTATAAGAGGCTCAGAAGGAGCCGAAGATATTCCATCCAATCACCGTTAGGAAGGATATTCTAGAATCCCTACGTGTAGCTTTCCGATTGGACAAGGCTAATAACCCCCTGTATGCGGATTGGAGGACTATAATGAGGATTTTTGTTCTTACTAAAACTATAAATACCTGACAATTTGTACCCATAATTGACACTGTTTGGAATAACATTCCTTTCACTAGTCTTCTGTCTTCTCTTTGCGACTTGGAAGGGTTTGGGCGTTCGTGTGTTCAGTTGTACGCGTTATCTCAAGTAAATCAACCATTTCTAGATATAACATTAAGTATAAGTATTAGGTCATGAGTTCTCTTACAATTATCTTTGTAATCATAATGTTAATAGTGAATATTCTTGTAAAAATCTCCATTCTGTTTGATGTACTTCATTGTGTTATTGTTGATTGTAACGTAGTCAAAGATCATCGAGATGTCGTATGACCTACAAGAATTAATGCGTGTAGGTTTGTGTACAATATATAAACTCAGTCTTAAGTTGCTCTGAATGGTAATAATTAAAAGCGATAGTTGAGATGAGTTTTACCAAACCACCGTAAGGTAATATATAACAGAAAAGTTGAAAAAGTAAAAATGTCTAAATCGAAAATATAAAAATCTAAACAGGTAGTTACTAAAACTTACTACACTACTGAAAAACACGCAGAACAAAGTATCACTTAACAACAGTTCATGGATAACCCCTGGAACACTTTCAAATGCATAGTCAGGATTATAATGTACCATTTATGTTTATGTATTAAGTCAGATGACAGAATTCAACGGACACCTTTCCCATTGATACATTTATATAAACAATCTTCACTTATATTTATAATCCATGTTTTTTTTCTTTTGCTAGCTTATATGAAATATTTCAATGTATTTTTTTTCAATAAACTGTTTCTAAATTCACTAAAAACCATTTTTAAAGGATTGATGTAATGATAGAATCAGGATAATACTTCTGGACCCTACCAGTGTCATTTATTTTTCGAAACTGTGCTCAAAGAAAACACACGAAAACACAACGATCATAGTTTGAGAATTCATATATTTCAATATAAACAGAATTCGTTAAAGATTGATTCGAACTATTGAGAAATAGAAAAAAATGTTTTAGCATGCGTATGCATAAATATTATATCCGGACGAGAATAAATGAATGGTAACCGTTAGGAATTACGTACGGACTAATATTATTATTATTATTGTATGACTGTTAAGTGACTATATTATATGTATATTCATATTCCTTTCATTATAAGCTTTTATTCGACCTAATAGTTATTGCTACATTATTTACTAATCTCAGTCTATTAGTATCGGTCTCTCACAGTCACAGCCACCTTTTGGCTTGTACTTGGACAAATGTTATTCTCTACTTTATGGTGTAATGTGGTCTGATTTGTTTGTATATAAACCAAGTATTTTTGAAATATATGATTCGTATTTCGGCGGTCGAGATTGACGTTCTGGACTAAATAGACAGGGTTAGACGGATAAAGGACCAATCAGGACTCTAGGCTGCTCGTACTGGTGTATGCGTCATTAGTTTGGTTGTATAAGTCAGCGTATATAAATTAACAATCGTATTTCATGATGTCGTATAGCTAAGGCCATAACAATAAGAGCTATAATTCAATATGTATAAGAATTCCTTTTACATAATGTTTGCGATAAAAGTTTTCTATTAATTACGTGTTCGAATCGTTATTAAAAGTTTAATTTATTAACGTTTAAGTTCTGAAAATATCTATTAACTTTATAGTATTATGACAATTATTTCCAAAGGTACATTAAATACTTTTGTAAAATGTTTAATTGGTCAGAGAAGTTATTCGATTATTTTATTTTTGATTTCAGTGTGAGAAATTGATGGAAAGATATTTCAATAAAACAATCTATATTATACAGCATACCAATGCTACAACATTATGTAAAGTAAGATAGGTGCAATATAGTGCATTGGTAAATAACTGAAATTATAAAATTTCTATTATTGAATGTATATTAACATGGAGTATGACTCCAGCTGCATGGAGTACAGTTGACACATGTATTCCAAGTAAGGACAGGAGTCAGAAAAGTCTGAATACTCCCCCTCTTCTTCTTTCTTCTGGTGGTCGACTGATTATGAAGACCTCGACATCTGGCGGAAAGCACAGGATACAATGGACATCTCGAAATGAATCAAAATATTTGGACTTCTCAGGTGACCTAGACCTCCTATCCTATACACACGAACAAATGCAGATAAAGACAACTAGTGAAGCAGAAGCCTCTGCATCAGTAGGCCTCAACATGCACAAAAAAAACGCAAGATCAGTAAATACAACACAGAGAATACCAACCAAACTACACTTGATTGAGAAACTCTGAAGGAGTACCTGGACACCATCATTGAATAAAGAGGATCGGATGCAGACGAAAAAACGAGGATTGGCAAAGCAAGGACAGCATTCCTACAATTAAAGAACATATGGAACTCAAAACAACTGTCTACCAACCACTATCAAAGTTACAATCTTCAATATGAACGTCAAGACAGTATTAATGTACGGAGCTGAACCGTGGAGAATTACACAACCATCATCGAAATTGTACAACTATTTATGAACAGTTGTATACGCAAGACACCCAGTATCCGTTGACCGGATACCATCAGCAACATCCTACTGTGGGGAAAGACAAACCGGCTATCAGCTCAGTAGGAAATCAGGACAAGACGTTGGAAGTGGATTGGACATGCATTACGCAAATCACTAAACTGCACCACGATGCAAGCCCTAACTTGGAATCCTGAAGCGAAACGGAATAAAGGAAGGCCAAAGAACATATAACGTCGAGAATCGGAAGCAGATATGAAAAGAATAAATAGCAACTCGAAAGAACTGAAAACGTTTGCCCAGAACAAAATTGGATGGAAAGTGCTGGTGGGAGGCTTATGCTTCTCCACGAGGGATAACAGGCGTAAGTATGTGAGTATGTAAGTAAGTAATATTAACAATCTTAAACGATCAGTATTTTTTAAACTTTTCTATACATATATGAGTAGTGTAGTAAGAAAAATAGTGATACAACATATACTGAATGCTTTAAAAAAGAATATTAAACATAATGAGGCTTTATTCTTAATTTTTCAGCCAAGCGATAGTAAATCTAATTCTAGAAGATGAGCTTCAAAATAAACCTGACATATACATATTCAAGTGACAGAGAAAAGCGAATTTACGCTAATCCGGCTCGTAAGGGTCTCATTCGAATCACGTCAGGCACACCATATGCCTTAAGATTGATACTTTTGCATAAAATAAAAGCCATAGTAATATACACAAAATACCTAGTCTTCGTAATCATCAGAAATTAGTACGCTCTTCTCGTTACCCTGGGCATCTACTAAATTATATATATTCTTATAAAATTTATGCTTACACAGTCAATTGTTATTGTCTACCTGACTAGTTGACTAGTTCACCCGATTATCTTCTTACTAACTCACAACTATTTCTATAGATAATATTAAATGTGGCTAAATGCTGTTGATTGACAACACTGTTTGATTATAATAAACTTGATATTCAGGAGTAAAATTCCAATAACTACATTAGACGATTGGTAGGCAACTAACCTTAAACAAGATATTTCACTTCTCTGTCTGAAATCAAAGGTCATATTATTCTATTAAAAATCATTGTTAAAACCATTACATAACATTGTTATTTAAATGAAAATATAAACATCGAACTATTTCTTTTCAGCTTTCAAATTACTAATTTCTTTTTTATCATTGTTTTTTTAATTTATTTCTCAGTTTACTCCATTATGTTAACAGTTGGTCGGGGTAATTATGATCTGACTATTTACATGATTATGTAACATTTATAAAGTGAAAATATATGTGTATTAATCATTACCATTTGAGTTCATTTTTAAAATGTTTTTAAAAAAAACATATATTCTTATTTACTAGATAGTAATTATCATGGTAATGTATTCTGTGAAGCGATATCTCATAGTTATCAATTTTTGCTATGTGACGTTATATTTTGAAAAATGCGGCTAAACTTGCGAAATCATTGAAGTTCGTATATATATATATATATATATATATATATATATATATATATATATATATATATATATATACCAGTGTCAATGAATGTATAAACAAATGAAATATATAACTAGTTAAGTCGTTTGATCTAAACAAAATTCATTAAAAATATTATCGATACTCTGTCAATAGAAAATTGTATCAAATTATTTTTCATCTCTCTCATTCTCTCTTGTTTAGTTCTGGTTGGTTTCTATTTGTCGGTTATTAAAAATGTATTAGATTTGAATGATATATGTATAAACATTGGTTCTATGGAAAAATGATCTGATAGATGGCTGTTTATCTGGCTCTAAGTTTACTTTTTCCCCATTTTTACTGATGTAACATTATTTGATATAGCACACCACTCATTTTCATCAATTTCTTGTGTTTCCAAGTCCAGTGATGACATGTCATCAGCAATTGACTGCGTTTTATACGTAGAACTATTTGTAATGGTATTTTCATTACAATGATATTCATCATTGTCATATTGTAAATCACCGTAATCTCGAGTAATTTCGTTTTCTAAATTTGTCGACCAAATTTTAGTTTCATCATGATGTGAAAATGATATTTTAATTCGACTCATACTATTATTTAATTTATTAGGCTTACAACACTTGATAAGGAATATAAGAATGAATAAAATCCCAATTAGCAAACCAACACCTGGAAGTATTCCTTTAATTGGAATCGATCTGTTATCAGCAACACTAGTAGTATTAGTATTATTATTATTATTAGTATTAGTAACAGAACTGAAATCTTGATGTTGACATTCAATAACCCAAAATATTGAATATGAAAGAAACAAACAAATGTATTTGAACATATTTTGTGTTGAATTACTAGATTTCCAAAGAACAATCTTGACAAACAAATGATGAAATGTCTATGAACATGATCTTTTAAAGAAATATAATCATCTTTATCAATTTAATTATTGAATTCTAATTAAAGTGAAAAAGTAAACTATTTATATCATATCACCCAATAATAATAACAATACTACTACTACTACTACTACTACTACTAATAATAATAATAATAATAATAATAATTATTATTATTATTATTATTATTACTTATAGCAAACGTAAATAACTTTATATTTATTTATAGTTTATTTCTTATTAAATAATTTCTTCTTATCTACACTCAATATTGTGATTATATTTATAGTTTAATATTATTTATTTATTTTTTAATTTATTTACCATCATTGTATTTCTCATGATTGTTCACAGTAGAAAAACAAAAAAGACTTAATAAATGTTAAAAACAATTGGTGTTTGTTGATAAATTATTTACATCAAACAGTTTACATGGAGTTTTGTTCTCTGAGCTAGATGGTTTAGTCGTGGAGCATTCAACATGTTTGTACCTTATTATTATGATTATCAATAAAAACAAAACAAAATATTCATTGTTAGATTGACCTTCATTAGTTTTGTTTGGTTATAAAATGATCCATTTATTTTGGAAAAATATGCAACTTATATAATATGGGTATACTTTGAATTTTTAATAACCATTGGGTCAGTATGTAAAACTGTAGTGAACAAGAACACGAGTGGGGACAATCGGATGTGTTTGAACGTGAAATTATAGAAGATCTCACTAAGATTCGAGAATAATACAGTAAATACTTCATTTGCAAAATATCAGTCCATTATCTCAAACTTGACTGTTTCTTTTGCAAATATCAGTCCATCGTTTCAGATTTCATTGTCCTTGCATTTTCGTACCTATTGCTTTCCGTTCCTGTTCTTTCCTTTTCGATCTTCTATTGAAATACATTTATTCTTGACTATCATTGTATACCACTTAGGTGAATATAAGTAGCTCATACCACAAAACATGCGATTAATTTATGTTTCATATTCAATATAACATTGTCTTACAATGTTATTAAACATAATATTATGAATTCGGATTTACTTAGTTAGTTAGTTACTTACTTACTTACGCCTGTTACCGCCAATGGAGAATAGGTCGCTGACCAGCATTCTCCAACCCACTTTGTCCTGGGCTTTCATTTCTAGTTCTATCCAGTTGTTGTTCATCCGTCTCATGTCTGTCTCCATTACTCTGTGTAATGTGTTCATTGGTCATCCTTTCCTCATTTGATCTTGAGGACTCCAAGGGAGGGCTTGCCTTGTGATGTAGTTGAGTGCTTTCCTCACTGTGTGTCCTATCCACTTCCAGCGTTTCTTTCTGATTGCTTCCTCCACTGGAATCTCATAGAAAACTAACTCGCTAAAAAGTTGTTAACCAGATTTCTGATTTGCATAATAGAATTTGGGTAAATTCCTTGTTGTATATTTTAATGATGGACAAGTTTACAATACGCATTCTAATCAGTATTTCATTGAAGATACATGTTCGTATTAACAGACTTAGCTTCAGTTGTTGTCATACCTAATTTTACCTCGCGTATTAATTTAAAGACTTATTGAGTTCAAAATAAGCCGATCATATCTACAGCAATCGTACATGTGATTGTAGACATTTTATTATCAAATTACATGAAAACTATTTGTGATAATAAAACAGAAATAGTTCAGTTCAATTTATAAGCACAAAAGTTTTTGGTGTATTTATTAATAGAAGTCTAACCTTCGTTGCATGGTACTACATTGATTAATCGAAGTGAAAGTTTTCTGGGTAACCAGAAGCACGCCTTTTTAATTTACCTCGATGATTAACATGTTGTAAAGGGACGTTTAGTCGAAAATTCTTCGTAAAAGTTGTCTTTAAAATTCTTTTTTGGGACCTTGCAGATACTATTATTCATATGAGTGACTAACAAAAAAATTAGTTTTTCTAGAGCTCAACATGGTGTACAATGCGTTTCATGAGTTGTAATTCTAGCATGAATGAGTTTGCAAGTGCATCACCGACCACCTATAAATGGCTTAGACTCAAATCACAGCATATCAATAAAACATCATACATTGTTCATGTTGTTTCGATTATCTAAAGCGGCTTCATCTTTCCTGTTATAACGTGTGATCCGCCTATTAGAGAGCAGCCTATTATCGATCGAAACAGTGACGCATAAAACACGAGCGAGCAGCCTAGAGTCCTGATTGGTCCTGCTTCCCTGTCTAGCCCAGCCAATTGAGTCCAGAACACAAGTCTCAGCCTCGGAGATATGAATCATTATATTTCAAATATACTCTGTTTATATAGCAATCAAACAGACTACATCGTACCATAAAATAGAAAGTAACATTTGTACAAGATTTAACCTTCAGGAAATGACACAAATAAATATTGATCAATAGGGAAATAACACGTTAGAAGAATGTTGACCAATGGGGCAATGACGCTATTTCTCATTCAGGAATAGCACTAGATAATTTCTGGGGTATTTTCTGAATACCCCAACATTTCCTATAACAAATATGATTAGCTATTACATCATCTGTAGCCGTAGGTTTCGGCAGGGAATAAAAGTCAACTTTGCGCAAATTTACATGACATCAAGCATTCGAAATTACGGCGTCTGTCTGTCGGTACCATTACAACTCTGCGTCACTATGCCAACAGTCTTTAGTTTGCTCATTTGTAACGTCAATATCATTCGATCTCAAATATGTTTCCTTCTCTATTCCACTGTAACCTACACAATAACGTGTTTGAATAAGTGTAAAGTAGAAGATATTATGAAGAATTGTCGGTTTATTATTTGAGTGCTTTGAACATTTCAACAATCAAGATCAAAAGGCTTAATTATCGTTGTAATACGGAAGGACTACCTGGTTGTTCATTGTAACTTTTTGTCTTTCAGTATGATAGCTACTCGTTTTTCTAACGAAGGGCGAAACGTTATAGCCACTTGAAAACTAATGGCAATCAATCAAGTAAAAGCTTCATTCATTTGTCTATAAAGACAACTGAAAACATGTACACAGAGATATGGAAGCTCTTTAATTTCAAGCAATGAAAGACTATTGTTTTGTCGACTGAAATATTGGAAAACCAGTTTTTAAAGTCCATTTGATGAAAATTGAATTTCGCATATCGAAATGAAGAGCTAAACCTAAATAAGATCGTGGTGACCTACTTTTATCAAGAGAACGCGATTGGTGTGATGAAAACAATTATTATTATAACCAGTTGTACCAGGGATTGTTTTACTGTACTTGTTTGTTAACCTGTACAAAAGACATACGTTCTTCCGTTGGCCGTGACCTTACAAGAATTTGGTTACGTTCAGTAACCTCATTTGTGGCCTGGCACGACCTCGGTTTCTTTTGATACCACGAGATCGCCAACAAACACATCTCGACTACAGCCATCAGTTGCCTTCTGATATTTCGCCTACGGGAGATCTTATTGGTTAAGTGGCACATAGTCTACTTGTAGTGGCGATCATAGTCAAACGCGACACTACAAGATCTAAACAGAATACATGGGATAGAGAATAAGAAAGAGGTTTCAATATCGTTCGAAGCACTTAGGGACAACTGATCTGGAGACGTCAGAACACATTCAGTGCAAGATTCCTTATCGGATTCCGATGCCTTTTAGGGAATATTAATTTAAAATAATCTTTCAGTGAAACTTGATTTCTCGATAAGTCGTCGAAGGGCTTCGCTAGAATAAGTGTTTCGAAGATTAGAGACATGAACAGGTAGAAGAACCCAAAAAGTGTTAGTTTATCAAAGGCAGTAAAGCTAACTTGGTGCTCATTTTACTATCACAGTTCAGGTTCAAAAAAAATTGATTCATTTGGTTCATAAATACAAATTATGTTAGTCCTTTCAACGATTTTCGTTCAAAAAGACGTTTCATACGGGTTGTACGTGTATTATTTTAGGCGTAACTATATGGTCGTTTTAATTTGTAAACGTTTTAAAATATGGCTCAGAAATAGTCTCAAAGAACTTCATCATTGATGTTAGCATAAATATGAATGAGAACCACTGTCAACAAGATGTACAATATGGAAACAGTCTAGCTGAATAATTCATATATATTTTGTGCACTTAACAGCCGGATAGGCAGCATTGGAAACTGAAGTGATACATGAGGTGTTGTTTGCCGATGAAATATGGGGAGATTCACCAACAGCAGATCAACGATTTTGCAGATGAAATGTTTGGTTTTTACCCTTTTAATGAATATTGCTGTGCCCAAACGTAAAATCACGACAAAAGAGGAGTGATATAAGAATATTGTCGACGAAATCGTTCCTTTGTAGGAAATGGAGATAAAAACACTTTTCAAATCCATTCACAAAACGGATCTGAGTGAGCGAAATGTCTAATAACAGCGAACATGACTACACTGTCGACTGAGCTGTCAAGCGTTGTTGTCCTCCCCATCAGTTATTTACATTACTTTCTCCGTTACAAACATCTACCAAAACCGTCATCAAAGCTTACATAAATTTAATCTGCATAAAATGTAAAGTGAAATCATGGGTACTTTTGATCCTTCAGAAGTGTCATAAATTGTACAGCTCAAGCAGTCGTTATACTGAAATTGATTCCAGAACGCACACATACATCTAGGCGTGAGATGGAGTGAAGTCACGCAAAATCATAATCAAATTATCAATCGCCTTGAACGTAGCCGTACCAAAAAGGACCTATCAATATATTTCAAGTCATTTATCAAACAATATACTCGAATAATAATACACATATAATAATACACATATTATATCCCAATAAGTTAAAAAGTTATTGACGTTTCGTGGCTCTATGTGGGACATCTCTTTAGAGTAAATGAATAAGTGAACTAAATTAAGACAACTTAAAATAATACAAATTAAACAATGTAGAGTATTTTTAGTACACTGCAAAACATAATAGGTCT